TGTTTAAATATTATTATTATTATTAGCAGATCAGCATTATTTTCCAGGTCAATGACCAGTGCATGCTGAAACAATTTAAAATAAAAAATAAACAAATTTCATTTAAAAAACAGGAATATCCGAAATGGAACAGCCACCTGATCTAAGGGAAAGACTTTTTGTCCTCACTAGCACATGTGAATTTGTCCAGGAATCCAGGTCGTACTTCAGTGGAACATTTCGTATGCAATCATCAAGTTTGGCCTGGCTGGAATTGGGATGGGAGGGGGGCATTCTAAGTGGGCATCACCAATTACACCATTTGATAGAAGTATTGATGAGCAGGCTGTTGGCTCTTAGGGCTATAACTGTAATCTGATGGCAGGCACTCTGCACAATGGAATCTTGAGAAAGCAGTCACGCAATGCCACTCAGAAAGTTGTTTAGTAAGACTCTGAATCTTTATCAGTTCTGTTTTTTCTCTCAAGGTCATTGCCCCATCAGCTAAAGTACTTTGTTGGTTCTGTACAGCTCAGGAAGACTTATCAAGAGGAGTTTCCTCCACCCTTTCCTGACTATATACTATTTTAAGAGTAAGCAAACTGGCTGGATTAATTTCCCATTTTAACCTGTGATCTGCTAGCGATGTGTTAACAAGATCACTATCTTGTTAAGAAAAAAAACACATTTATTGTTTGCTCATTCCTCGTTGATTGCTAAGGCCATTTCAGGGAAGAAATCTCAATTTCACAAGTGTTCTTTTCCCAGTTGCATAATAACCAGTTTTAAATAATTCAAATACAGTTTTCCCACTTTGGTCATTTCCTTCCTGAAAAAAAACTGGTACAAAAATATCGGAGAGTCTTACTTTAAATGTGGGATATAATGAAAGGGGTGATTTAGCACTAAGGTATATAACATTACAGAATTTTCAGAAAGTTAGTAAATATTTTATATATTTTTTTCAATGCAAAATGGCTTTGTAATCCTACATCAATCGTTTAAAAAGAAGTCAAATTTTATGCATTCTGTCTTGTGTTTTAAATATCAAATTCTCACATTTCTTCCTTCATTCTTCTACAGCTCCTGTTCTTCTTTCATTCTTCTACAGTCCTGTTCACTACCATCACTACTTACTAGCAGTGAATCTTAACCGTTCTTGTTTTATCAATAATCCTAATTATATTCATAGCATTAAAGGGACACTATAGTCACCCGAACAACTTTAGCTTAATGAAGCAGTTTTGGTGTATAGAACATGCCCCTGCAGCCTCACTGCTCAATCCTCTGCCATTTAGGAGTTAAATCCTTTGTTTATGAACCCTAGTCACACCTCCCTGCATGTGACTTGCACAGCCTTCCATAAACACTTCCTGTAAAGAGAGCCCTATTTAGGCTTTCTTTATTGCAAGTTCTGTTTAATTAAGATTGTCTTATCCCCTGCTATGTTAATAGCTTGCTAGACCCTGCAAGAGCCTCCTGTGTGTGATTAAAGTTCAATTTAGAGATTGAGATACAATTATTTAAGGTAAATTACATCTGTTTGAAAGTGAAACCAGTTTTTTTTTTCATGCAGGCTCTGTCAATCATAGCCAGGGGAGGTGTGGCTAGGGCTGCATAAACAGAAACAAAGTGATTTAAATGACAGTGAATTGAGCAGTAAAATTGCAGGGGAATGATCTATACACTAAAACTGCTTTATTTAGCTAAAGTAATTTAGGTGACTATAGTGTTCCTTTAACTTGGTTATCTATTCTTTAACTGGAAAATTATTTTTTCTCCACGTGTAAAATCACTTGGACTCTTGGATCTTTTCTCCAAGTGTCTTCAAATGTAAAATAATTACCATTAATTTGTGTGAGTGGCAAATAAGGCCGTAAGGGAAATAAGTTGGTTGAGATGTGCCGGAACCGACGTTGTGATAGGCCTGTAATAAAAGAGGGCAAAAATTGGGTACCTGTGAGAAACTAAAAACAATCAACAAAACCTAATTGCCTAGCTGTATGGTAAATGCCGAGCGAAGAAATAGTTGCCTAGCACTTTAACCGGCACTCTTAATTGTGCAAGGGGAAGTAAGGTATATTAAACATGTTGGCCCCCTAGGGTAGACTAAATGTGGGGTAGAGAGGGTAATCAGTAGGCTGCATGAATAGGTGAGACTTCCTAAGATAATGCTGCAAGAAGGACGTGGTGGCTGTGGGAAAGTATGTGAGACCCAAGAAACTGTGGAAACAAAAATAGTGGCTCAACAACTAGATTACAAAGTTAACATTTGTGTTTAAACGGTTGATCCAAAAGAAGGCGAAAAAACCCAGTTTGAAGCGCTGCCAATTTGCAACAAGCTGGGAAAAAAATTCCTTCTTGACCACATAATGGCAGTCAGATTTTCCTTGGATCAAGCAGTTATTGCCCTACAATTGAAGGTTGATGCCCGGACAATCATTAAGGACAATATAAGTTTAACCAGTTTGAGATTCATGAAGAAAAACAGTAGAGTTGACTTTGGAGTAGAAAGATACTCCCCTTAAAAAGTACCCCTTTTTATAAGGGAAAACAGCTTCCTTAGTCCTCTATTCTTCTTCCAGTGAAAAAATCTTTTCCAGCGCTTGTCAGTTTACAATGGGAAATGTGGATCCAAGATTTAACTTCTGCGACTTTAACAGCTGAATTAGTGGTTAATAACACTTGACAAGGTCCTTTCCACCTTGGTTGCAACGCGTGCTTTCGTGAATGATCTTTTATCATAACATAATCTCCAGGAGCGATGGCATGCAAAGTTTGGTATTCACTTGTTCGCTGTACAGCTTTTACCTGCGTATAGAGAGACTAATCGTTTTGTTAGCTACATGCAGTATGTCATTACTAAATCATCATTTATCTCATGAGAATAACATTTTATAGGTACCCATCCTGTGAACATTGGTCTTCCCATTAGAATTTCATGAGGGGATAACCCTGCTTTCAAACTAGAGAGAATCTCATAGACATTAAGGCAAGAGGAAGTGCATTAAGCCACTTTAACTTTCTCTGCTGCAATTTTTGCAATTTTGTTTTTCAATGTTCCATTGGCCCTTTCTACTGCTCCTTCTGACTGAGGATGATGAGAGCAATGTAAATGGTAAGGGATTTGCTAAATTTTTGCTATCTGTTGCACTACTTTTCCTGTGAAATGTGTTCCCTGATCTGAGTAAATGTGCCGAGGCAATCCATACCTGGGTATAAATTCTTGTAACAATTTCTTAAACATTGTAGACATATCGGCATGGCAACAAGGATAAGCCTCGATTCAACCTGAAAATGTATTTAATATTACCAGCACATACTGATACTGCATTACCTTTGGTAATTCAATGAAGTCCATTTGTAAATTTACAAATGGACCTCATGAACAGGGAGGATGATTTAGCTGCTTAATCTTAGGTCTCTGACCTGCATTGTATTGTAAACAAATAACACATGAAGAACACACCAGTGCCAATACAGATTCTAGGCCCAGCCTTGACCATTCAGAATTAAACAACAATGATGGCAATGCTAGTCTTCCACGAAATATACATTCTCCCCACCAAAATCACTTACTTCTTCTTCCCTCAGTATCACATACAATTAATTTACTTTCAAATGTACCATAGGTTCTGGACCTTAGGTCACAGGTACACTAATAATACATATTCAGACCCCAATCTTCCTCTACATCTAGTCTGTCTTTTTCTTCTAATTGCTTTCTTGCCCCCTTTACCTCCTTGCAATCTGTTGCTATATGACCATATCCATCACAATTGAAACATTTGATAAATGTTCTTATATTATTCTGTGGGGGTCTTCTGGCTGTGTTTTGTCTTGGCTGCTGTGCATAATATCTAACAGGCATTTGTTCAGCTTGTAGCATTATGTGCTCAGCTTTTGCATTTTCCTTGATTTGAATAGCTTGTCAAATTTCTGATGCTGCACTTAATACAATATTAAGTGATTTATCCCGTCATCCCAGTAAGGATAACATCAATTGTTTTTTTTTACTTTAGCATCCAAACCCAGTCATTCCCATCACTCTCAGGCAACACATTGCTACATCCTGATAAACCTGTAGTTACCACAGCATGATCAACAAATCTTTCAGGCAGTCTAATATCCCTCTCAGGTCTACCACCTCGATGCAACATGGCCGGGGCACCAGCTAAATTTTGGGGTACAAGCTGTGGTGCATCAACCATCTGCTGAGGGGAGGTGACCCAAAGAGGGATTCATAATCTCATGATTAATCAAAAAATCCTCATCATCATTATAAGGCGGAGGATTTTTAACATTTCTTTTTAAATTGTACAGTGAGGGATACAAACAGGCAACACCAGTACCCTCTCCTTTACATGCCCCTCCTGTTGCACCAGACTGGGGGAACATTCTTGCTTTTTCTTTTCAATTTCCTCATGCCATAACATATATGCAGACCATTCCAGTTTTGAAAGACTTTTTCCATTTAACAACATTGTTCTTAAACTTAACAACACCCAAGGGTCTAATGACCCCACCACTGGCCATGGATTTATATTATTCTTAGTTAACTTTGCCCATTTCTTTGAATACATAATATTTGAAGGGCCATATTTCTGTTTCATTAAATAAACTGGGGAATCACTGGGTATACTATCCCCATGATCAAGCTGCTTGCCATTATTCAACCCCATTTCTGTTACTTGTACGTTGAAACAACAAATGTATACACTCACTGTATCACCTTTTGAGAGATCGAAAGGTCACAATTTTCAGTTTGTATACTGACTGACAACTGGAGTTTTGGAGTTTACACAAAAATCTCTTCTCGAATGATGTTACAGTTTATCAAACTTTAAACCATATACACACAGTTATACAATTTTAACACAATACATCTTACTCAAGTGCTATGTTTAACCTATGAGTTTAAACAGTTAATACAAGACAACTTAACTTCACCTTGCTACTTTTAGACTGGGTGAAATTAAGACAATAAAACAAAATAATCTAATCTCACTTTCCTACGTTTTAGATTTGGGAGATTAGATTCATGTGGCTAGCCAATTAATACAAGACAACTTAACTTCACCTTGCTACGTTTAGACTTGGGAGATTAGATTCATGTGGCTAACCTCAACATTTAGCCACAATCACATGACAGGGATACATCATATCAAAGAGACTCTCACCAACCGAGCTACGTTTAGACTTCTGAAGGCCCACCAAACCCCTATTGGGTCTGCGAAGTTTAGTCACTTAAGTCTTCCTAGGGGACTACCTGTCAGTGCTACCACTGATTCTAGAATCACTCAGACATAGACACTAATACTGCAGTATATTTTACAACATAAACATGAATAGTAACGTTACAAATGGTCAATAAAAGGCTAAGAAATCAGGTCACACAGACTAGCATTTACCTGCATCGTTCTTTGTTTCATGGACACTCAAAAATTACACTAATGCCATGTTTTATAAATGGTATGGTTTACCTTTCATATGACCGGTCTGTTTGAGTGCCCACGAAATGGTTGGCAGATGCAGGTGTTCCGCTGGTGTCTGTGGTATTCTGATCCCAGACAAAGAGCCCCCAACTGTGGAAGTAGACAAAAATATTACCAGGTTCAATAAAAAGCGTTTTAATTGACCATGACAATACACAGAGATATCTCATGGAGATTGGCAAGAAGCAATCTAACATCATGTTACAATTCCTCATATTTTATACATATGACCCGGAACCGGCCTTTCGTTTAGCTTGAATCAGAACTCCAAATATGGTCTTATTTCCTATTGGCTAAATTCTAGCATAACTGACAAATTTAAGTTTCAAAAGTTTAAGCATCCCATGATCTTTCTAACAGATGACTTGACCACAGTCATGCGTCTTACTTCGCTAAAATATCGCTTGTCTATGATAAGAGTTAACACATATAAAACTTCCTCTTTCACAACTTAAGCACACATTTCACCTTTCCCCCCCTGGCAACATCTGACAAGACACGCTTTCAAAATAACCTTTCATTTTGCAATCCAAAAAACAGTCCAGACATCCATTAATAAATTGTAGCAATAAAACATAGTTTCTTCTTATTTCTTAGAGTAAATATTCTTCTTTGATTATATTTTAAGATGATGAATAAACAGCAAAATGGCTGACAGCATGTCAGTAGCAGGTTACATATGTTCACACTAGGTATCTAGGTGTTTCTGCACATTCAGTATTGGATTTCCTATCAAGCCTCGATTAATCGGGGTGCTACGTATGTATACAATATTTAAGGTGTCCATTGACCATATAGTGAAAGATAGATGGATGCTCACCTGGTTCACCATATGCAAAGCCTCTGGTTTCAACCCCTTAAGGACCAAACTTCTGGAATAAAAGGGAATCATGACATGTCACACATGTCATGTGTCCTTAAGGGGTTAAAGGGATACACTAAGCACTAAAATAAATTCAGTTTCATGAAGCAATTTAGATATATAGATCCAAGTACCTGCAATTTCACTGGTCAAGTGTCTGCCATTTTGGCATTAAAGGGACACTGCCCAAATACAAAAGCCAACCGGCACAGCTGGTATTTGAGGCTGCCTGGGCGGTGCTGGTAGTCTATAAATGTTCTATACCCCATCAGATTTCTTGTACCTACATCACTTCCTGTGCACAGGTGTGTTACCGGAAGTGACGCAATATCAGCTGTGTGCATGTGCGATATCGTGGCTATCGGGTATAGAGATCTGATGAAGGCGCAGCTGTCAGTTATAGGATTCTGGCGCGAGATCAGCTAGGCCAGTAACATACGTCAGATATAGAAATCTGACGGATGTACACCGCATGCACGTGGACAACGTGCCCAGTTGAAGGGAAGTAACATCAGCTGACAGAGTACATCTATCCGTTTTCTTTACCAGGCGGATGTACAGCACGTGCGCGACCGCTGCAGCACTTAGTGTGCAATGACATAGTGTAGGCTTAAGGGGTGTAACATACAGGAGATGTAGGGTAATGGGGGTGATACACATTGGATGTAGAGTAGAGGGGGGGGAATAAAGAGGGTTATGGGATGACACATAGGGGATATGGGTGTTATTAGGGTGACACACAGGGGGTTATGGGGAGTATGAAGTGACACATAGGGGTGTGGGGGTTATAGTGTGACAGACAGGGTATTATGGGGTGACAGACAGGGAATGACAACCCCATAACTTTACATCTCCTGTATGTTACACCCCAAATGCCTATAGTGTATATTGCACTGCAGAGGGATGCAGCGATCGCGCATGCACTATACATCGGTCTGGTAAAGAAATCTGATAAATGTACGCTGTTGGCTGATGTTATGCCCCATCATTGCGGTGCATTGTCCACGTGCAGGCCAGTAGGGGAGATGCAGGGATAGGACATTACATTTTAGCTCTGCCTCTCTATTAAGCATCTGCAGGGGAGCAGCTCTGCATAGCAGAGCAGGTTCAGCCAGCAGGTCCCAGACTGCAATCATCTTACAGATCAGGTAATTGAAGAATGGGGGATACCAGTAGGAGTGCAAGGAGATACACAGGGGTTAGCCTGGATGAGAGAAAGATACAGATGGGGAATACCATAATAATACAGATTGGGTTAACAGGATGAGACAGAGAGATTGGAGTATACATAACGAGACAGAGAGTGAGATGGGGTTAACATGATGAGAGAGAAGCTGGTTGCCGGAATATGACGTCATTCCAGCCCGGCATTTCAAAATGCGCGCCTGAGGGGAGCAGGTAGAGAGACCCCAGGGAGAGGCCCTACATCAGCTCCCAAAGGTAGGGAGCAATGAATAAAATGATTTGTGAGTGTGTGCAAGAATGTGTCAGTGTGTGTCTGTCTGTCTGTCTGAGTTTGTGTGTCTGTCAGTGCGTGTGTGTTGGTTACTGTTGCGATGGCCGCACTGGAGGTGCACTGAGGCACACTACACACACACACACTGCATTCACTTTACACACCAGACACTACATTCACTATACACACACTACACAAACACACACACTCTGCATTCATTATATACTCACTGCATGTAAAATAAAGTTTTAGACAGTTCTACTTCACTCTCAATTTGGAGTCCTGTCTCTTATTGGGGGAATCTGTTACAAGGGATTGCTATGCTTTGCATATTCCCTTGCTATAATCACTCCTAAGCTCTTGTAAGAGCTTGTTCCTGCCTTGCTCTCTGGAGGAGTCTATGGTGGTTATGGTGTCAGCTGGAGTGCTTGGAATCCTCTAGGAGCATTCATCAACGGAGGTACCCAGTCGGGGTGCCAGGTGATCCGTTACATACTATACCATTTTTTTCAGTGGTTTTACACAATATTTATGGCTTAGTGAAGGGTACTCTTGATGACCCGACTGCAAAGGTAAATTTTTAATTCATGTATATTTAAATGAATTTGCTAAACAACAATCTTAATTACAAACAGTGTATTTCTCTAAAATGTGAATTGTCAGGAATTTTAAGTTCAATTCAAAATTTATTTTAGGAACAACCAAAATGAATACATATCTGACTATAAATGTGATTATTATGGTTTGAAACTTGAATGTCATTTTAAATTCACTTCAAATTTCTGGTAATTCACACTTTAGAAAAAAAAACCTTGCAGAAGAGAAAATTTTGAAAATGTATAATTGAGTTAAATGTTATATAAAGTAATATAGTAAAAAAAATCTACAAATATAGGATGTCTTGGACACATTACAGCAATTTAAAAACAAAATATGTTTGAGTTTCCATCTTACCCATGATTTTCATCTGTCTAGAAAGTACATAAAAATAATTACAAAAGTAAAATATAATTTCATGATTATATTTAGGTTCATACTATATTTATATTCAACATAACATTAACACATTCTAAGTGAAAAATAATCTGTATCACCATAGAGTTGAACAAGATGTAGAACAAGCTATTGCTATCGAGCCGAAATATAAAAAAAGTAAAAAAATAATAATAAGAAATTAGCACTTGAAAGGGACACTATAGTCACCAGAACAACTATAGTTAATTTTAGTTGTTCTGGTTAGAGTAGACAGTCCTTGCAGTCATTTTCATGCAACACTATGAAAATGCAGTGTTTACAGTAAAACCTAAGAAACCTCCAGTGGTCACTCCTCAGATGGCCACTGGAGATGGTTCCCGGGGCAGCACTGACGTTCAGCCTCTTCACGCTCTGCATGGAGACACTGAGCTTTCCTCATTGAGGTGCTTTGATTCAATGTATCTCTATGAAGAGATGCTGATTGGACAGGCCAGCGTTTGGCCCTGCCCCATCTCCTTGGCAATCTTGAATTGGCTGTGATTATCAATTTTGATGATTTCAGCTAAAGAGGCGGATCAGGGGCAGACCAGAGCAGCGCTGGAAATAAGGTAAGTTTTAACCCATTCTAAGAAGACGTGGGGGGGGAGCAGGGAGCGGTCAAGGCAGCTTAATGGTGGTTTTAACACTATAGGATCAGGAATACATGTTTGTGCTCCTGACCCTATAGCGTTCCTTTAAAGGAACACTATAGTCACCTAAACAACTTTAGCTTTATGAAGCAGTTTTAGTGTATAGATCATGCTTTTCAGGTTTCACTGCTCAATTCACTGCCATTTACGAGTTAAATCACTTTGTTTCTGTTTATGCAGCCCTTGCCACACCTCCCCTGACTCTGATTGACACAGCCTGCATGGAAAAAAAAATGGTTTCACTTTCAATCAGATGTAATTCAACTTAATCATTTGTATCTCTTTCTCTGTAAATTGAACTTTAATCACATACAGGAGGCTCTTGTAGAGTCTAGCAAGCTATTAACATAACAGGGGATAAGAAAATCTAAATTAAACAGAACTTGCAATAAAGGAAGGATAAACTTTAGATGACTCTTTACAGGAAGCGTTTAGGAAGGCTGTGCAAGTCGCATGCAGGGAGGTGTGACTAGGGTTTATAAAGAAAATTATTTAACTCCTAAGCAGGGCCGGACTGGCCCACCGGGATACCGGGAAATTTCCCGGTGGGCCGTCGGCACCTGGGGCCGGCCCTTTAAATACCTCAGCCGCCTGAGCGCTCTGTGAAGAGCGGTCAGACGGCTGCAGCTTCTCCCCTGTAGCGTGGCCGAGCTGCACTCCGGTCCGCAGTGGCCGGCCGGACTGATAGGAAGGTGCACACTGAGTGTGCACTTCCTGTCAGTTCGGCCGGTGACAGGAAACAGAAACTCCTGTTCCGCGCGGAGTTTCTGTTTCCTGTAACCGGCCGGACTGACAGGAAGTGCACACTGAGTGTGCACCTTCCTATCAGTCCGGCCGGGCACCGCGGACCGTAGTGCAGCTCGGCCACGCTACAGGGGTGGGGGTAAGAAGAGGGGAGGGGGGGAATAAGAAGAGGGGAGGGCAATACACTGCAAGGCACGTTCCTACGGCAAATACTGCGGAAACTAGAATCGACACGGGAAGGGGTGTCCATTATTTGTGGAGACTTTAACCATGTCTGGGACCCAAAACTAGACACGAATATTTCAAAACACAGTCCAAGGTACAAAATACTCCACAGACAGTGTAAAAAGCTACAGAAACTCCTCTCCCTCCACCATTACTATGATACCTGGAGAATATCTCACACCTCGGAGCGGGC